TGAACTTCTGAATAACTTCATCTTCTGCTAAAAAACACAAGGGATAGAATAAAATCTTATGGCACTCAAGGAACAAAATAGATGTATAGCATCTTGCATTGAACTGCTGGTACAAAAAGCCTTTAAATATATGCATTCATTCACATTTGAGATATTAAAAATGTCTCATAGGTATTAAAAGTATTATTTTAGTTGATTTAATTGACAATACATGCTCTCTGTCTTGTCATATGACACAAGCTGCTGTCAATGTGAGTTTATCATAATATTTACAGATCTGTTGAGCCTTGAAAATGTATAAGAGAAAAAGTTGAAATGATTTTATTTCCTAAGCCATTTGTAGTAATGACAATAACAGTGACATTTTAGAACTGGTTCATGCATCCAATTTTACTTCCTTAATGAATAACAGTTTGGTTGTCAAGTTCAATTTTATTTTAAAACTCTTGAGGCATATTATGCTATGCCAATAATTGTTTAAATGAAATGAAATATAATTTATTCAGAATATTTATATCTTGCCTACTGCCCAAAGGTCTTAAGCCTGCATAGTATAAATTTAATATTCATTAAAATGGATGAGTTACTAGTGATGCAAAAAACTGAATATGAGTTCTCCTCAATCCTCAGATCCTTTTACTGCTATTCTGTTGCTGATCCTTGGGACCATAAATGGTCTTAAATGAAATTATATAGCACAGGATCTAATGGGCTCAAGGTGTTCTAGAGCTTTTCTCTAGGAAATTGATATTCTTGCCCTATTCGGTCCTATCACTTGGTCCATGTTCCCTGAATTAAAGATCTGTCACTGGGTTCTCTTTCAAATATTGTTATCCCAGAAGTGCTTATGTTCTTTCATTTAAGTGATCACTTTGCTTTGATTCCGTTTTCTCCTCCTCCTCCTCCTCTTCCTCCATTTTTAATTCTTAGGCTGCTGTTAAGTGCACTTGAATTCCCCAGCTCTTTGGAACAGCCTCCCACCTGAGATCTGAGGGATCCCTACCCTTTTAGCTTTCCAGAGAGCCATGAAGACCTGGCTCTTCCCTCAAGCAATGGGCTAGAATGGGGGTTGAGCTGGGAGGATATTTGTTCTGGAGCCTGGGGGGAAGGTGCCTTTGTTTTTAGCTATGTTTTTATGGATTGTTGTGAGCGCCTAGAAACATTATATGAGATAGGTGGCCATGTAAGTCCTGAAAATTAATTAATTAATTAATTAATTAATTAATT